AAAAAAAAAAAAAAGAAAAGAAAGTAAATTGTACGACCGCGAAAGTAACAGCACAAAGGATGGGCGGGGGGAGGGAAGATGTGGGTCTGTGTGTGGAGAAAGCAGACCTGACACTGCATTTAAAGAGTAGTGTGTTCACAAAGTTGTCCTTACTATACTCGGCACCCAGATCTTGGTTTCCAAATACTATCCTCCCATAAAAGAACCGAGGACCCTTTGGAAAGAAGGGGTGGATCCCAGGTCAGTGGCAGGGAAAACCGTAAGGTGAGCCCGGAGTGTGTTGTAACACAAGAAGGTAACGATGTGCTTAAAAAGGGGGAGGGGCACAGGAACAAACATAAAACTGGTGTCTGTGGCCAAAAGTGGAATAGCCTGAGTAACAAAATAACGACCCCATTGTCATATGACCCGAGAATAAAATACCCATAAGCCCATGCGGGTATAAATGACTGAATGAATACGTAAATGGGAGAGAAGAGGCAATTCTCTTTTCACGGCAGAACCTGATAGCAGAAGGAATGTGGGAAATAGAAAATCACCATTAGAATATCGCAGTAATAGGGGCACCTGAGTGGCTCAGTCGGTTGAGCGTCCCACTTCGGCTCAGGGAATCATCTCCCAGTTTGTGAGTTCGAGCCCCGCGTCGGGCTCTGGGCTGACAGCTCGGAGCCTGGAGCCCACTTTGGATTCTGTCTCCCTCTCTCTCTCTCTCTGCCCCTCCCTCGCTCACGCTCTGTCTCTCTCCCTCTCAAAAATAAAAAAACATTACAAAGATTTAGAAAACAAAGAACATCGCAGTAATAATTGCCATGGGAAAGACCCACAAATGCGCTAGGCCTAGTTAAGGTGAAAGTTGTTTCAGCAGAAACAGAGTATTTGGATGGTCTCAAAATACCTCCTTCAGAATACTTTCGAAGTACGAGGGGAGGAAGAGTAAGCTTTCAGTGGAAACCCTGCTAGATCCCTTAGCCAGGTGATCAAGGTTAACATCACTAGTGACACCTGAGGATGTCTTATGTCCCGGTGTGATGGCCCCTCATCTGTGGTTTCCCTCCCAAGAACACATAAACCCCATCACACCCAGAGAAAACCTCAGGGGTGCTTGGCTGGCTCAGACAATGGAGAGTGCGGAGCTGGACCTCGGGATTGCGGGTTCGAGCCCCACACTGGATGCAGAGATTACTTTAAAAAATAAGGGGCGCCTGGGTGGCGCAGTCGGTTGAGCGTCCGACTTCAGCCAGGTCACGATCTCGCGGTCTGGGAGTTCGAGCCCCGCGTCGGGCTCTGGGCTGATGGCTCGGAGCCTGGAGCCTGTTTCCGATTCTGTGTCTCCCTCTCTCTCTGCCCCTCCCCCGTTCATGCTCTGTCTCTCTCTGTCCCAAAAATGAATAAACGTTGAAAAAAAAAATTAAAAAAAAAAATAATAAAAAATTAGGGGCACCTGGGTGACCCCAGTCAGTTGAGCGTCGGACTCTTGATTTCAACTCAGGTCACGATTTTTCGGTTTGTGAGTTCAAGCCTCGCATCGGGCATAGAGCTCGCCAAGGGTTCCACCTTCTTAGGGAGGACTCTTTCTACCCAGAGCCATCGGTATAGTGGTTTACTTAGGTTCACTAAGGGGCGGTGCCTTCAGGCTCCAGCAGTAGGCACAGGGCCATTTCCGGAACCCAGCGGCTGTTTGGGGGGCTGTGGCTTTGACTCCCACCTCCGAGGCACCATCTGGTCCTGACCCCTTCGTGGGCAACTCGGTTTCAACCGCTGGCTACGAGGACCTTCTTCATTCAGGGGCCTGGTCTATCACATTTCCCTTTCTTGTCTTGGAAGAGAGAGGGTATGCGCTTCTCGGCGTTTGGAAGGTGCGCGAGTGTGCATAGCGGTCGGGTTGACTTGCTACGCCTACCAGCTCGGCTATCTGGACTGGAAGCCGTGGGCAAGCCGTGTGATCTCTCTGCTTCTCAACTTCCCCGTTAGGAAAATGGGAGCATAATGGTACCCACATCCTAGGGCTGATGTGAGGCTTTCCTGTTGTTATTTAAGATTCGGAGCCAAGGGGCGCCTGGGTGGCGCAGTCGGTTAAGCGTCCGA